TCTACGACGAGACCAGGAAAGAACACAGTTTAGAAGACTGCTATTCTGTCGAGTTAGTCTTGAATAAAATCTGAATATTTCAATTCTTTGTTTAGTAAGACAACTCTTCCACCCCACTTCACCTCTCAAGGCTCATCCAGATGTAGACTTATGTACACCAAGAAAAAAACGAAAGGCTCGATATATATTTGTGTCAGGGTCTGTATGACAGACTATGACAATTGTTAGTACAGTGGCTTTCCTAGAATTAACGTTTAATGCGCTTCATCCGAAATATATAACCAACAATTGACGGTAAGACCTACGCCCGTATCCCCCCTAGTTCATATGAATAACTCGCATTCCAGCCAAGGCCTACATCGAGGTGTCGAGCACACCTTGGTATAGTGCAAAGTCGTCTAGTTATATGCTGGACTAGTATATCCCCAAATTTCCTTTCGGTTGCATTTTTAGAAGTTGGATATGTCTTTCAGTTTGTTCAGATACAATTAACGAAACATGTTAAAACTCATCCTTATCAGGTGAGGAATATATATTCAGGTGATATGATTTGACTAGGATGAAATTTAAGGGGGGATACGGGCGGAAGTCTTTCCCAATGGATTGGTTGACTAAATTATTGAGGTAAAATTATTGAGTCGTCAACTCGTGATCAGCAGATGACTGAAGTGTGACTATATATCGCGAAACGACCAACCTTCACCGCGAGTCCTATGGCGTCTATCAGCATGTCATCCGCCAAACGTGGGAAATCCGCCATGTTTATGTAAGATTTGTCACTGCTGCATTCGTGTTGTCTGTCGATATAGTTTCCTTGGCCGACAAAACAAGTATGACTTCACTTCGCATGACACAACAACCACTATTGTTGACATTTTCAAGCTTCCGCTATTCTTGCCAAGGGAGGCTACTCTCGAATATTATATATTACCTGTCACAAGAAACGGATGGGCAATCGTATATAGTCTCCCTGATTGTAGCTTGCTCATTGTTTGCTCAATATATCATTGAATATTTTAGACTTGTCTGTTTTCTATTTTGCTGTTTCAAAGGGGATTCTTAAACCTTTTGTAACGGCAAATTATTAACCGTAACCCTACGCAACAATTATATACATTTAATTCGCCTCAAACGAATGAGTCACTGGTTTGTTTCCTGGTATATGAAATTTTTCCGGTTTTAAAAAGACAAAATCGCCAGTGCATGAGGGGCAGCCAGGACAGGACAAATTATGTTTCCCACACGCCAAACCTCGTTATGGAGAGGCGAGTTATGATAAAAACATAATTCATTGATTAATTTTCAGTGTTACCAATGTTTGTGATTGTAGCATAGATATAACTAACGTTAAGAAATATTTGATAAATGGCAAATCATACTCAGTACAATAGACTACGAATAACGCATATGTATATCACTCCGGTAATTATGGCGCCCCAAAATCAAAACTTACATGTCCATTAATGGGTATTACGAATGATGCATCGTGATTATCATCCAATCTCACTGCGATTCAGAAACAAGGATCGAAGGCAAACCGTTTGTCGTTAAGGCCAACTTAATCCAGGATTGCGTTATGAGTGTGACTCCACTCAAAGTACATCATAGCCTAGTATGTATGCAAGTGTATGCATGTGTGTGAGTGAGTGAGTTTAGATATAGGTGCGGATGAGTGCGAGTGTACGTGCTTGTGTATCATATGAATTGAAATACTGATACCTGTTGAGGTGTTGAGTTAGAAAAACAAATATTTTGCCTTCGGAATATTTTATTGCAGATGAATCGGTGGAAAGAAGTACATATGGAAAGCATTGGACAGTATCTATATTACAGACATAAACCGATATAATTTTATTCAAGTATGTATGTATGTATGTATGTATGTATGTATGTATGTATGTATGTATGTATGTATGTATGTATGTATGTATGTATGTATGTATGTATGTATGTATGTATGTATGTATGTATGTATGTATGTATGTATGTATGTATGTATGTATGTATGTATGTATGTATGTATGTATGTATGTATGTATGTATGTATGTATGTATGTATGTATGTATGTATGTATGTATGTATGTATGTATGTATGTATGTATGTATGTATGTATGTATGTATGTATGTGTGTGTGTATGTATGTATGTATGTATGTGTGTACATGTATGTATATGTGTGTGTGTTTGCGTGTGTGCGTGCGTGTGTATATATGTGTGTGCAATTGTTACCGTAGTTTTTACAAAAAGCAAAACAACTTTGATGAGAATACTGTACAATACCAGACGATTTTACAAACATAAGAATGTATTACAACAGGTAACCGTGTGGGTTAACGGTCACATGCAACGTAAAACACAACTTTGCAGATTCTGATACCTTTCAAATCGTCAAAACTGCAAATTCAACTTATAAAGTTGAAAAATAACGCGATGAAAAATGCGCGAAATCGGAGTTCAAACGTTTCACTGATTTTCCCCAGACTTTTCTGGGGAAAACGGGTTTCAACAGCTGGGCTGTGCTCATAGCACGTGCGCAAGTAAATAGGTTCGCGCAGCTTGGAAGCGGGTTGTCCGGGTGAATACTCGGTGACGGCTTTGGTCTGAGCTGTTTTTTCTAATGTTTTGTTGATATCTCACAGGTGCGACAGTAAATTACCTGTTTATATAATTTCATTTGTCTATTTCACCACACGTTCTTCTTACCGAGACACTTTCTCAGTTCGATACTTAAAAGCAATGTCATTATTTAGAGTTGACAGAATTTCTAACTGTGATATAGATATGTCGTTGTCACAGACAAAACTCAATGTCTTGTTTTATTGACACCTGTGTGTCTGCCTGTCTGTCTGCTAATGACAATATTCAATACACAGCTGCTATCACTGACCACATGCAATTTGAACTTAACACCAATCAGGCTATACACCATAAACAAAATGCATTGATTTATGGCCCGAGTTCGGTCTCTGTCACATTATGTAATTACACAGACAGGCAGGTGTGATACTTGAACACATGACATGTTATGATGTCTGTTGATTGCAAAATGTTATACACAAAAAATGAGCATGTATTTACAAAACCCAACATCTCTATATTTATACACACATAATTAGCCGTGAAGGCATCTGCAAGTGAACCAGCCGTTACACTTGAGTGCACACCCACCCGCTCTGACTGGGTTCGGTATCCCGTTGCTTCGATTCTCGGGAAGTGAACCGAAGTACACAATTTTGCACTTTCGATTTGCGATTGTACGCTTATAATTTTGTTTATATATTTTTTCATAACCAGCAATGTATATTATATGTCATGAATAAGTGATAACTGTGTTTTAATTATGTTTGATTTTTTGGTTGCATGTGACGTTTAAGCAAAATGATTGTACAGCGTCTGTGAGATAATATATGTAAAAGTACAGACTTATCCAAATCCACACTACATGGCTTGGTCACACGACGCATGAAACAATGATCAGCTAGGCTGTATTCATAGCGACAAGTGGGGGAAGCGAAACCCACAACGATACATTCAAACTGTCACAACAAATCTTTAAAAGTGTGAAACTGCACTGGTCATTACAGTTTCAAAGGAACATAACACTTTAGAACCTGAACTCAGCAAATTTGTCTTTTGTTCCATTACAAATTTATCTGACCGACTTAATGACAGGAAGATTTGGCGATCAACTGATATTGTTTTGCAATACGTGACGGAAATATCACCAAATTGACGTTAAATTTAAACTCACTCACGCACCCTATATGGTACGTATTTGGTAACTGATGTTAGCCTAAAACCACACTTTTAAACACGCAGCATAAAATGAGTCCTGGTATCTGTTCATATTGAAGAAGAGTTGCAAATATTGCAAAGTTGTATTGTATATTCTTTAAAAAGGATGTAGCTTACATTTTGCAAACAAAAACCCAGTTCGCATCTTTTCGTTATAAAGTCACTGACAGATATTGGCCACTGAACTGTTAAGGTGTTGATCTGATGGAATTCTTTTTCTTGTACAAACATATTCATTATCCTATCATATATCTGGTTTTTTTTCTTAGTATTATTCTTATGTTGTTAATTATTTCAATTAGGTATCCAGCTATTGGAATAATGTATTCCAGCGTCAGGGTTTTTGACGATGCAAACAAAAACGTATTTTTATCTTAATATCATTTATAGTTTATATTTTACTAACTTTGAGTGATAAAGGATGTATTCATCTATTTCACACAAAAATATCAAGTGTTCCCTACAAAAATAGCGTTCATGACAACGTATCGGCCAAACTGTTGCCGCTTTATTTTGTATGAGTTTTCGACGATGAGCCATACTTTCTTGCTCCGCACTAGGATTGAGTGTTGTGATCACGTGGCTTCCTATTTATATAATGCCTGTCATTATTGTCACGACCGATCTTACTGAATTTTCGCTTGCTATTTTTTGTTATATAGGCAACTGATTTTGCATTCGAAATGGTATTAACGATCTCGGGTAAATAATATTGATGTTTGCTTGCTTTTCATATAACTTAACTTCCGGATTTCCATTGTCAATAAAACTTCTCACGACAGCGACTGGGCATCCGCCCTACCGATGAAATTGTTTGTGCACTCCGATCGCGCACGTACTCCCCCGCGAGTATAGCGCGAGCAATGCAATCGTCGAAATCACGAATTCAGCTCGCTTTGGGATACTGGAGCGGCGTTTATATAAGCCACTAGGCTTGTTCGCCTATCAAAAGTTCAGCCTTGGCTAAATAAAAACCATGTTTAAACCATATTTTCTGGATGGCTCATTCAATAGACATCGTCGGTACGTTACCAGCGACAACTATGCACTGTGCATATCCTGAACGATCTTTCTCACGCTGACCATTATCATACAAGCTACACAAAGATACAGAATCATTATTCTCTTCTTCATGATCTGAGTATTGTTGAGTACAGTCCAGGACAGGTCCATGGTCCATAAGGATGACAGGTTCATAGTCTTGGTCCAGTGGTACTAATCCGTTCCTGGTGGTATTGGCATCTGTAGGGTCGACCACATTCACTTGGTTGAAACGTTTGAAGTTAAGTGTGTGGTATCCTAAACTGTTTTCCGCATACAGCTGACTGTTTTCAGCGCCACCAACAGGTGAACATTCGACAACATCATAACGTTGACGTTGAACGATGTTCGATGTCGTAGATGTCGAAGGGGTTCTACGTTGGTGAACACCTGCAACAGGGAGGATTACTGTGGTTTAGGAAAAGGTTCTCGTTTGGAACAGGGACCGTGGGGTAGCCTAGTGGTTAAAGAGTTTACTCGTCACGATAAAGACCCGTGTTCGATTCCCCACATGGGTACAATATGTGAAGCCCATTTCTGGTGTCCCCTGCCGTGATATTGCTCGAATATCGCTAAAAACTAAACTCTATCACTCTTTCCTTTAGAACGAGTTTTGCAACTCAAATTTATATATATTGATAATATCATTTTCTCTTAAATGCGGGTCTTGATATGGGAGGAACTGTAACATGGGGATTAAAGGTTTCTGAGTCGAAAAATGTTGGCGCCAAGAAGATGTAGAATCCTGTGGCTGTAACAGAAAGAAAAAAACTCGCCCTGTTTGTGGTCCTGGGTATAAAGGGCCATCCACATGGTCGCTGCTGGATGCAAAAGGGCGTAAAGCACTCACTCACTCACTCACTCACTCACTTTAATAGTAATCAGGTTTTATGGACGCAATACATAAGGGTACCTTGTTGTTTGATCCTTATCAAGACAATAGCAGCAACGATGAATACAGCCAGCACTATAAGCAGGACACAGCACCCGACCATGATGTAAAGGACAACTGTAGTAACATCTGAAATATCAATTTATATTAAAGTTTCGAATCTTATGCATTTCCTGGCAGTCGGTAAGAAATTGAAACCATGTGTTGTGAATCCTTTGGTCCGATAGAGTTTAATGTCGCAGGAGATACTGGTTTAAGAAAAATCATGTTTGTCCTTCGACCTTAAACTGTTACAAATGGTTTATGAAAAAAAAACCACGACATATCAAAGAGGACACACACATTTATTTAAAGAAAAGAAAATGGATCGACATTTTTTTTCTAAATATTTTAATACTTTGTAATAATGAATGACATTACTTTGGTTAGTGTTGGCGGTTGTAGCTGTAGAAAGAGGTACCCCGGTAGTTGTCGCAGCTGAGGTTTGTGTGCTGGTGACAGTCACTGTGCTAGATGTGACATCTGCTACAACAGGAAGCAAATAGTAATACCATCCACCATCTGGATCATGAACAAAGTGAGTGAGTGAGTGAGTGAGTTTAGTTTTACACCGCACTCAGCTATATGTCGGCTGTCTGTAAATAATCAAGACTGGACCAGACAATCCAGTGATCAATAACATTAGCATCGATATGCGCAAAGTGGGAACCGATGACATGTGGCAACCAAGCCAGCGAGCCTGACCACCCAATCCCGTTAGTCGCCTCTTACGACAAGCATGGGTTCCTGAAGGTTCATTCTAACCCGGACCTTCACGGGTGTATCATAAGCACAGGTACATGCACAATCTGAAGGGATTGTTATATTAGGAATTATAAAGTGTTTGCTCCAGACATATAGTTTAAATATTTGCTCTGAAATTGACAGCATTCGAACCTCCAAACTCTACATATTTTATTTTCAAATACCGGGAAATTTCATGCAGGAAAATAATATCAATTTAACCGTTTGAGATCTCGTCGAGATGTATGATGTTTAATTTGTGAAACTTGGGACAGTGGGGTATGAAGGTGCCCTGCAGCAATATCTTGTTAAGAGAGAGCGTTTCGATCCCAACGAGGTTTCTGAAACCATTGATGAATTTGCTCATCGTTTGTCTTTAAAAGTAGACGAGGCTTATCCTTCATTTGCTAAATCAAATAAGGAAGAACTATGTTCTCAGCGTTTCCATGATGGTTTGTATTCCAAATCTGTTAAGGATCATTTACAGGTCATTGTTTGTCAGCAAGCAAAACTGCCCAAATTTGAAAGTCTTGCAGACATTACTCGTCGCCTGCAAGATACTGATAATTCTGATGATTCTGCAGTTTTGCGTATTAAGTGTTCGTTTTGCAAAAAACTTGGTCATAAGGAGAAAGAGTGTCGTACTAAATTACGATTAGCCTCTAGTCAGGTGGGTACACATTCTGGTGTTATGTCAAAGCTCTTTGGGTCACGTGGTGCAGCGAGTTCCAGGAGAGGTACGCATGATGAGGGAAAGTGTTACCAGTGTGGTATACGAGGTCACATTGCACGATTCTGTCGTAAGAGAGTGAATGTCGTACAACCTTCTGTTTCACCATCCAAATTGTGGAAATTGGTAGGCTCAGTACGCAAGCAGTCATCGATTCAGGTGTGTCATGCATTAGTGCTAGCTCGTTGGAGGAGGCTTTTCCTAGTTGTGTGTTCAGACAGGAAACGAAGTCGAAGCTTAAGAGCTTATCTGGCGAGTCATTAGATGCTATCGGTACAGTTGATAAGTGTGGCCGTATTGATGGTAGTATCTACGAGTGTACTTTCCATGTGTTCGAAAACAGTACTGAGAATGTTCTGCTTGGCTGGGATTACCTATCAAAATTTGACAGTGTTACTCTGGTACCTAAACATAATGAAGTCAAACTGGGTAACTTAATCGAGTCTGGTGACAGGGTTGCTACAGTACATTTCACTGAATCTGTCGTTATACCACCAAGGTGTCAGAAAAGGTTGTTAGTGTCTGTTAGTCGGAACCTGGATGATGGTGAACAGATGATTATTGAACGTAATGAGAATTTGAAACCAAGACAGGGTTGTTTGTAGCCGGTCTGATGTTAGTTCAGGGAATCTGTGTGCGTTAGTAATGAATCCAGAACCAGTGAGTAAGAAGTTGTACAGATGTCAGACTCTTGGTGAGGCTGGAGAGTGTAAGGAATCTGTGTTTTCAAATACACCTTCAACTTCAAAACAGAGGGAGTTAAGTGATCCTGAGTTTAACATCGGACCAGTGGATGATTTACATCGGGGAAAGTTGATAGCTTTGCTCAGAGAATACAAAGATACACTGTTTACAGGTTTAGGCAAGGTGAATGGCCATACATTCAAGCTTTCACTTAAACCGAATGCAGATTTGAGTAAGGCTACGCAGCGTTGCAAGCGTTTTGGTCCTTATGTAGATAAGATTGTTGATGAACAAACTAAATCAATGGTGGATCAAGGTATAGTGGAAACTAGTACATCAACGTCATTTCACCAATTGTGTTGGTTAAGAAGGCTAATAAAAGGTTTATTTTGTTTGGACCTGAGAAATTTGAATGATCAGTTGCTTGACGAACGTTTCCCTTTAATGACTCCTAATGAGGCACTGATGAGATTCTTGACATGAACTCTGCTTATAATCAGATTGTTTTGGATGAAACTTCTAGGCCCTTGACTGCATTTGAGACTTCGTCTGGTATCTGGCAGTTCTTGCGTATGTGTTTTGGCTTAAAAACTGCTCCTTTGTCATTCAAACGTACTATGCATCTTGTTCTAAGTGGGTTGTCGAAAGATCACGTGTTGGTGTATCTGGACGATGTGTGTGTCCATTCGTCCACGGCCGATGAACATTTGTCAGTGTTGCGTGAGGTGTTTGAGCGAATGACGTCTGTTGGTTTGACTTTAAAACCTTCCAGATGTCATTTGTTTATGGATACTATAGAATATCTTGGTTTCTCAATTTCTTATGATGGAGTTGGTCCTGGTAGAAAAGGTATTGAGGCGGTATCAAGGAATTATCCGGTTCCTTGTACATGGAAGCAAGTGAGGTCATTTCTTGGTTTGGCTACATACTTTGTTAGATTTATTCCCAACTTTTCCGATCTCGTGTTGCCACTCAGTCGCATGGTAGAATCTCGGACGTATGTTTGGCATGAAAGTGAACAGAGTGCGTTTGACAGAGTTAAGGCTGTTCTCACAAAGGCGCCAGTGTTATCACATCCTGACTTTAGTCCGAATGCTTCTGCATTTGTTGTTCAGACTGACGCCAGTAAAATGGGTTTAGCAGGGGTACTTCGGCAGAATGATCATCCTATTTGTTATACTTAAAAAAAGTTGTCAAAAACTGAACGGAATTATTCCACTGTACATAGGGAAGCTTTGGCACTTATCTGGGCAGTACGAAAGTTTAGAGAATATATTTATGGTAGGAAGTTTGTAATCAAACCAGACCACAGGCCTTTGACATTTATTATGTCATCCAAATCTGATAAATGCGCGAGATGGTATTTAGAACGTTCAGATTATCAATTTGAAGTGGAGTATATACCTGGGAAAGATAACATTCCAAGTGACATTCTATCAAGATTTCCCGTGGAAGATTCAGAGGAATTGCCTATCTGTCCTTTATCAACAGATAAACAGTATGCTGTTATCAAGTGTTCTCATGATCTTGCTCATTTTGGTGTAATACGTACATGGAATTTAGCAAGGATGATTGACAAGTCCATTACACAGAGACAAGTTCGAGAATACGTCAGTCAGTGTTCAGCATGTATAAAAGGCCCTCGTGCTGTGCCACGGAGTCCCATTTGTGTAACTCGGACAGCTTCAGCACCATGGCAATCAATCCATTGTGACTTTGTCGGACCGCTTCCTACGTCATCGAAAAGTTGTGAGTACGTGTTGACATCTTTGGATGATCTGACACGTATGGTGTTTGCGTTTCCTGTACGATCAGCTACCTCTGTGTCAGCGATATATGCGCTTGAAAAAATGTTTTCCATCTTTGGACCACCACATACATTACACACTGATAATGGTTCAACTTTCACGTCCGCTGAATTCAAGGATTTCATGGATCATCCTCAAACAAATCCAGTGGAAAGGGCACATAGAACTATGAAATCATCTATGGTGAAAGCTTCAACCAGTGAAAAGAACTGGGACAAAGTGTTACCCGAACTCGTGTTGGCTCATAACTCATGTCCAAATACAACAACTGGAGTATCACCTTATTTCGCCATGTTTGGCAGATCAAGTGACATGTGTCGTCTCTACAGCAGTGTTCCTTCTGGAGGGAAGGAAGTACCACATATGAGTTGTCTGTAGGAACTCTGTTAAAAAAAACATTCACAAGCCAAACATGAACGTCAAGAAGAAACGTGTGAGAGACAAGTTGTAACTGGTCCTAAATCTCGTAAGAAACATTTTCAAAGGGGTTTTGTTGTGAATAAAATCTTTGGTGATTTCCTATGTGTAAATTCACAAACAGTTGATACACGACGTAGAAATATTTTGGTTAGTAAAGATCTTGTAATCTTAAATCCCACTGGAGGGGAGGAATGTGAGATGTAAACATGAGGTGGATGGTGCCTTTAAGTATTGCGATACTCGTGCATCACACACGCGACACGGTCAGCCAATCACGTCTGAGTATTCTTAGCGGGTCGTCCGTTCTGCATGTGTGCATCAGTCTCGTCCTGTCTTCTGTCCTGTCCAGTCGTCGTGAACAAATGTTTTGTGTGCCGGCCGGCCGCCTTGATTGTTATCCCTTACAACGACAAGCATGAGTTGCTGAAGACCAATCTAACCCGGATCTTCACGGGTAACATGGGGAGTAGGCAAATATGTAGCTTTAGCCCAAGAAAAAACTTTACTCGTCAAAATACCTAAAGGAATTTATGGATTTGGGTTTGGGTTATTTTCAATTACTTAGGTATTTAAAAACACTTGCATCATTGTATTTATGGAGGTATATTGACTGTTGTGGGTGATCTCGCCTTGATGAACACTACCAAACCAGGTGTCGTTCAAGTCCCAAAGAACGTCGGTATCCCTCATAATTACAGTATCAAACGAGTGGAGAGTTACTGAACTATGGGGAATTCCTTTATTTCCAAACATGATAACACTTATCTTCCCTTTTCCACGGTTCCATCATATGGCATTTGAGAAAGAATGATGTGACGAATCACCAAAACGAACCATTACATGTGTAGTTACATATGGGCGGTTATGTAATATTGTGGTTATAGTGTTCGCTTGTGACCCTGAGGACATGTGTGAAGCCCATTTCCGGTGTCCCACGCCGCGATATTGCTAGTATAGTGCTAAAAGCGCCATAAAACTAAACTCACTCACTCATTGTCGTTACATAGATTGCTCTATTTAGTTTCTAGGATGTGGATGTTGTCCCACAGTTGGGGATAAGTTGCAGGTCTTCTAAAATGCCTCTCAAAGAAG